TTTGTTCTAATTTGAAATGTACTTGATTTGTTGGAGTTTGAATTTGGTGATTTAACATTTTAAATAGTCATGCGATGTGTATGTGCTGTGACTATTTTGGCACTCCAGTGTAGCCTTTGTTTTCCTGGGAGTTACGTAGGTAAATTCAGTTGCAAATGATTCACAGTTTTAAGTGGTTGTTAGTAGCAAGGCAACATGATATTTTTCTATCACTTTTGCATTTAAAGAAAGGATTTCAAAATTTGATCATGTTGTCCTGTAAGGTTGTTTTTTTCATTTGAAATGGTTCCTCCTTTAAGCACCCGTTTCTGCTTTAATTTGCACCGATTACAAACTCACGTAACTACATGGTGGATTCAGTATAATACTCTTCATTAGCTAGCATAGATGAAATAACCAGTGGGTCTTAGACTGACCTGTTGGAAAATTTCTTTCCTTTTCTATTCCCTCGAGAATACAGCTAGTAGAAACCTGGAGTTTCCCTTCTTTGTCACTCTGCAGTTTCCTGAATCAGAATGAAATTCTAAAATTTCCCATGAAATGAGAATTCTGAACAAGAAAATTGTTCTGAAAATGTTGACACAATCTTTATTGACACTTTACATTTTGATTTATAGTTAAAGTGATAAAGTCAAAATGAATCACTTGGAGAACTTCTGATAAATTTCAGTTAAATGGCAGAGGAACGTATCGCTTTGATCAGCTTTTTGCCAACGGAGAAATAAGTAGAAAATGGTCGGCTGTCTTCACGTTAGAGCAAGTGATTCTCAGCCAAGGTGCTGGGGTACCTAGGAGTGCCTTGAGATCCTTTGGAGTGTGTCCCAAGCTATGAGGATATAAGCAGATAAGTGCAGGCTCATGCTCAGTTGCTACCTGACTAGTCCTTCACCTCCACTTCCTGCAGTATTGCCAACCCCACCATGTCAAAAATCATGAGATGACCCTTAAAAATCAAGAGATTTGGAATGTGAGTCATGAGATGCTATTTTTGAAGTGTGTGTGTGTGTGTGTGTGTGTGTGTCGGGGGGGGAAGGGTTATTTGTGAAGATGTGGAGCCCTGGAGAGGAGCGGTCCCCGCACACCCTGGCAGGATGTGGGGTATGGTGGGTCAGGAGTGAGGGGCAGCAGAAGGACTGGGGGTGGGGGCTGTATCTTGGGAGTGGGACAGACACGCAGAAACATGCACACAGCCAGCCAGCCACGGCTTTGTTGCATGACTTGTCCTAACCCTGGGGCCCCATTCACCCCAAACCCACTGCCTCCCTCCCTCCTCCCTCCCCATGGGGGGTCTCGAGCTGCCCCCCCGGCCTCTTCCTTCTCCCCTTGCCGCTTCCCCTCCACAGACTTATGAGCTTGACACTGTATCCCTGTCAGAAGAAAAAATCCTGAGATTTGATCCCTCTATCAGGACATCATGAGTCAGAGTTAATTTGACTTGGAAATCAGGAGTCTTGCGATTTTTTTTTTTTTTCTTGAGAGTTGGCATTACTGACTTCCTGTCCCCTCTGCACGGAGGTAAGCACTGTAATTAATAAGTTGGTTTTTGAAAAGGGGTGTCGCTCAATGACAAAAGTTTTGGAGAGGTTCTGTGAGTCTAAAACAGTTGAGAACTTCTTTAGAGCGTACCCATTTAATTGATTTGATGAATCAGAAGTATACACATTAAATAAGGTTTATTATTATTATCTCCCTCTCTTGCCTACAGTCACTATTTTTTCTTTCTTGGCACAACTGGCACTTGGAGGATCCCTCTGCCTTTATCACTTTGATTCAGGTGGATTCTAGCATTTTAACTCTTGTACCAATGCTAGATTCATCTTTCTGTCATGTTCTGTAGAAATGTTGTAACCTTTATAAGAAAAGGCTCAGAGTGACCTTTTGTGACTACAGCAGACCTTGTTGCTGTTGTACGTGTTGATCAAATCTCGAGCATCTTGACGGATTGGGACCTAAAAAGGCATTGGTATCTTTAAACTGCTCTTTCATGTAGTTTCAATGGAGAGTCTTCCTGAGGTTTATTGCAGCTGAAGTGTGGGCAGACTGTTGGTTTTACCTTTGACTGTATTAAGGCTCAGAGAGAGCTGTGCAGCTGGGATCCAGCTTGGGTGCATAGATTTAGTGCCGAGTGTGGAGCAGCCAGGGCTGCGAGCAGAGCAAGCTGCATCTTTGTGGTGTCTCTGAAGGGCTTGTTGCTGGCTGGCACAGAGTTGCATTCTTTCCTGGGAAGTTATTTTGAGTTTTGCCATTGATAACCAGGTAACTCTGGGGAACCCCCCGACCTGTTCTCTGCCTCAGTTTCTATGTCTGTGAAAAGGAAATGCATATTTGCATTTTTATTACAAAGCACTTTCTGATTCTTGAATGAGAGGTGCAAGAGGAAAATATTCAGGAAATCTGCATGCCAATTTACAGCTCAGCAGAAGAGAAGGAAGGGACACAGATGCTTTATAAAGTTTTGGAAGGTTCAGGCAAATGAAACTTTTCCATTCAAATGAGAACTTGATTTGAGATGTCGTAAGGAAAGATTGGGTGTCTGCCATGCTATAACAATAGGCTTGTCTTCTGGAAAACTGAAAATGCTCCAGTCTCTGTTTGGCCTATATGGCCTGCAGATGTTAACTAGATGGCCCATGTCTGAATTGTTAAACCTTTTGTTCCATAAGTAGTCTGAAAATTTCGAGTTGTCCTATATTGTTCTCAAATTATGTTTTTCTGAGCCTAATGCAGAGCTGTGGCCCACTGCTTCATGTCCTGCTGGCGGTGGAGCTAGTTCATATTTTCTATGCAGGTTTATTAAAAGGCATTTGGTCAACTGTGCTTAAAATACGTGTGTCAAATATATTATGCAAAACTGAACCCATTTCATATTGCAAGCACTCTACAATGCAAATAAGCAGTTTAAATACCTTTCACTACTTTAATTGACATACATATGCTGAAAGGAAAAAGTGTGTGCTGTATAGTTTCACCAACTATACTGTTGGTATGTGTTAGGTCAGTGAGACAGGGCCTGTAATATTATGAAATTCAACAAGCTTGTTGCTTAGGGATTAATAACAAATAGAGAGGTTTAAACTTAATATTGACCCCTCTGATCAACATTGTAAATTTCCAGTGTATATTTTGCACTCAGAGCTCCCATTGATGTCAGTCTCGCCTGGGGAACAGAAAGAGTATAGTATATGCGACAGAGATCCTGCCTTGGACAAGAGAATTTTGCCCAGAAGACAAATGGTATGTCATATGTATTAGGGCAACACAAAATCTGTTTATAACAGTTGTAACATCTGTGACATCTGTATCGAAATACTGCAACAGGTGACGAGTCTGCTGTTCTTTGATTGTCCAGAGCCAGGAGACTGGATCTGGGTATCTCTGAATGCCCTTGCTGGTGGTAAGAGGCAGATAATTGGGGCTTGCTGTATCAGAGCTGAACGATACTCATTCTAGTGTTTTTACTCTTTAATATTTACCTAAATCTGCTGGAACTGTTGCAAACTTCATTTGAATAATAGATTAAAAAACAATCTCTAGGACTCCTAAACTTCAAATCTTAAATTCCTTTATTGATCACTGCCTAGATCACTTTTTGATGTTAGGTATTCTGAGATGGCTTACAGTCAAGACTGATTTCCTCTAACATGGTTAGACATATTCTATATTGGAACATGTCCCGGAAAATATTGCTAGATTTCCACTTCAAAGCCATGTATTACAATTTGTGATATTGTTAATGTGACTTGTGTTGCTTAATTCCAGGAGCAGTTATCTTGATAAGCTACAAAATATGTCTATTAGAGGATTGAAGAAGAAACAACCAAAGACTTTTAAAGTCAAAGTTGTAACAATGGATGCTGAAATGGAGTTCAGCTGTGAGGTAAGTTTCCTATGCATAATCCCAGAAAGAGTTAGAATCTGTATCTTCCTGTTACCACGGTCTGACTTTGAAAGCTCCAAATAGAACTACAAACAGCCTTGAGGGGAAAAGTAATGGATTATAAAGAAACTATGTGGCTGAGGAGGATAAGAGTGAAGTTATGAGCCTGATTTTCCATGGATCTGCACTTTGTACATTCACTTATGCCTGTGCAAAATATTATCAAAACAGAATGGTAGCTTTTCACTCGGCAGAGATACAACTGAATAGGCAGATGTACAAGAGTGGTGAAGAATCAGGGTCATTGGGTTCAAATCAGAATTCTACCCAAGCCAGTAATGTAGGCAAGGCTTTACTCTCCTACGTGCCACTGAACACCTGTGTGAAGCAAGTTGGGTGGTGTCAACTGAGGTCCCAGTGGGCAAAACCCATTTAGTATTTGTTGCCCGCAGAGAGGCCAGAGACTGAACGGATGTGCAAACAGAACTTCCCTCTCCTTTCAAATGGCTGTTTAGCCTGGCTCAGTTGCTTAGGGCATGGAGCTAATTACACCACGGTCACAGGCTTGATCCCGGTTGGACTAAATGATCTCTTGATTGTAGGACTAAATTGTATTTCTCTATGAAACTAACCCCTGTGATAGGTCTCCTTAACTTTAAGATGAAGGTGTGCTGAGAGAAGGAAGCTTATATTGCCATTGAGCCTGTCTTTGTTCATAGAGGTCATGATGAGTACAATTTAATGTATTCAGGATGAATTTTAAAATTTTTATCAGAATGTGTTGGTGGGTGGATATGAAATGACAATCACACAAGTAAAATCTGCCTGTGATGGGCATCCTTTCCAGTTATTAGTACACTGGTTGTTGAAAAACGTATGTTATCAGAAGGCAACAGACCATAATTACGTTAGAAACTTGTACATTGTGCACCTTTGATTTAAATATATTTAGTAAAATCCTCAAGCTGACTCTAAAATCAGTATGACTGGAGCACAAGAGTATAGAGAAGTGGCATTATACCAGGTGGAAGCTTCAGTCTGATTTCAGTCTTGGGAACATTGATATGTAAGTGGGTACAAATGACAGCCCTGTACAGTGTTATTTTTGGCTGTTTCCCACTGACTCAAATGAAAATTGTGTGCGCTCAGGGTCTGCTGGAGCAGGTCTTAAGAGCTTTTGTTGTACAAGGTCCAGGACGATACCTCCTTAAGTTGGGGGCTAGGGTTTTATCCTCAAAAAGGCCCCTGTTGGCTTTCTGGGTCTAAGCACTGGATCTATACTCAGGTATAGCTGTTTGAGGCAGAATTATCCTTTTAGAAAGTCAGACCTCTCATTTTCTCTGGGGAACAAAAGAAATTGATAAATCTGGACATACAAGCCAGTTCTTTACCATTTAAGTCTCCTAAATAAAGTGGATCAGGGAATCTTGGCTGTAGAAAAGAGAGGCAAGGAGCGCCACAGGCAGAAAATAATACATCTCATGATCGATCACTCATGGTGAATTGGGCTGCACTCTTGAGATGCAGAGAAAGCCAATAGATCACTTGATTACTCAACTATAGGAAAAGGAGGTGGGAAAGACTCTTTTGAGCATGACTGTTTTTTTGGGAGACCTGACAGTCTTGTGTCACAAATGAAGAACTGGCAATCCCATATACTTCTTGGTTTTTAAAGGCTATTCCATGATTAAAGAACCCAGTTGCAAGTGATAGGAGTCTGTGGCACACTGATCAAAATAGTTTAGGCAGGGTCACAAAAGTAAAGGGCTTGGGGATATTATTTACAGCTCAGGTCCTCACTAATAAACTGGATGAACTGGATTTATCCTCCTGCTTTCCGTCAAATGTTGGTTCAGTTGCTAGGATGGTTTCCTTCTCCCTGTCTAAATATTGATCTTAAGTTTTTGGGGTTTGTTTGTTTGTTTTTTTTACCATGAGGTCTTCAGTGGCTGGCTCATATTATTGGACAGAAACACTTTTAATATCCACCCAAATAGGTAAAAAAAAAAAAATTGTGCAGTCTTTTCAGAGAAAAAAAATGAAAGTGTGCATCTGTGAACTTCAGGACCCTTAATAAAAGCCTTCTTTCCATAAGCACCTATGCTACCTAATCACCCTTACTAATGATAGAGCTAAATATAGATTAGATCATCCATTTTTTTTTCTGGATGCAGCAAATCATGATTCTGTTATGGGCTGAATCTTACTTCTACTGAAAAGGGTGGCAAAATTTCAGTGACTTCAAATGGCAGTGACCTACATAATTAAGGTGCCAAGATTGTCCTTCATGTGCTTTCATTGAAGTTATGGGCGGATTTAACCTATGACCATCAGGCCTCGCTGCTTTTCTGTGCAGTCCCTCCTTCAACCCCCATTTGTCTTTCTGATTTGCCTGATTGATTTGATACTAATTTGCAAATAGTACTGAAGCTTTGTAACACCCTGTGAGGTAAATACTGCAGTTATTCTACATGGAAATAGAATACGTGTTAGAAAAACTAAATGACTTTGTTTTAACTGTTAGATATAAATATCAACAACCTTACTTGAAAGGATGTGAAATAAGCTGACAAATGGCGAGTGAGTTACCTTTCCATGCATTGCAACAGTGTGCTTTAGGGCGCATGTGCTAAAATAATGGCATTTTAAAAATCCATTTTCATTGTTTGTTTTTTTTCCTCTCTAGATAAAGTGGAAGGGAAAGGACTTATTTGACCTGGTTTGTCGAGCATTAGGGCTAAGAGAGACGTGGTTCTTTGGCTTGCAATATACAATAAAAGGAATGTGCACTTGGTTAAAGATGGATAAAAAGGTACAGAAAACAACTGGTCTGTAAAAACAGCTACACAGAAACCTTTCAGCTAGGGCATGTGGAAGTGAGTTACACCTTTAGCCCCAAAAGTAAAAGCTCTTGTGTTTAGTGATGACCTATGATTTCCAGATGTGTAAGGCCAGACGGAATCATTATCATCTGGTCTGACCTTCTGTATAACCTAGCCCACATAATTCATTCGGAGATTCCCTTGCTGCACAGTAGTGATGCTTACACTTACAATCACCAGTGTGCTTTCAGTTGACATGTGAAAGTCCTGCTTTATCTTGAATGCTGATTGTTTTCTACTGTTCATTTAGAAATTGATTCGGAGGCCTTTATGCTCTAGTTTCCCCACTGATTCTGTTTTTCAACAGGTTTTAGATCAAGAAATCCCCAAAGAAGACCCAATTAGTTTCCGGTTTTTAGCTAAATTTTACCCTGAAAAAGTGGAAGAGGAGCTATTGCAAGAAATCACGCAGCACCTCTTCTTCCTGCAGGTGAGGAGAGAGTCATCTAACTATTACCCTTTGCTCTGTTTACCCCACCCTTTTCATTGTTTGCATAGTATTGCCTTTATTCTTGTTGGAGTAGTTTTAGTCCTCCCTGTCATGCTGCAGTGTCTGTGGGATATCCTGCTTTGAATAGAGAACACTCCCCAGGCTGGTATGGCTCAACCTCTGTTGGCTGGACCTGCCTATTTAAGTTTTAGTAGTTTCTGTTCTCCTGGTGTCTTTGCTAACTGTGGATAGTCAGCTGTTCAGATGCACAAGCCCAGGGGCGACTCATACCCAGTGTTTTGGGCAGTAACCCCCCTTACATGTGGAGTCACTATATTTCAGTTTAGATGCCTCTTAAAAAAACCCACAAACAACAAAAAGCTTTGCTTTCCTCCTAGGAAAATAGAAGGTAGAGCAGGGTAGCACCTGAGATTAACTGGTTCAGAGAGGTGCAAACTTTCACAAGAAACAACCTACTTCATTAGATGCTAAGACATCTGACGAAGAAAGTGATGAAAACTCAGGCTTCTGAGCCAGTTAATATAAGGTGTCATCCTTCCCTGCTTTCTGCCTGATTTAGGACTTTACAGCTAACCACCTCTGTGTCTGTAGCAAAGCGTGTGTAAAATTTTCAAGTAGACCTGTGGCTTCCCCCTCCTATGGGAAGAGAAGGAAGAAACATAGCTGAAATAGAAAGTTTGAACATTTCTGTGCATTTCTTAAGTCCCTACTGGTCTTCAGGGCTGTAAATCTTTTTGTGCCCTGGGGTTGTTGTCTGAAGAAAAGAGAAATCAGTGGAGCAAACTGGTGAATACAGCCCCTGCTGCTAGTGCTTGATATGTCCATGCTGTGAAAGTTTTGTGTTTTGGTTTTGTTTTTCATTCTGCTTCCTGGAAGCCGACAACCTGTCCCAAATGGAGGTTTTCAAAACTTGTTTTGTTGGCAGTATAAGACGTCATGAATCCTTTAAGGATTCGGTGCTCAGGTCCCAGTCTGTGAAGGGTCTTTTAACACGTACCCTCTGTACAATTGAACCTGTTGAATTGAACAAAGCCGTTTGGCAAACTTACTGTTTTTATTGGAATTAAAAAATGTTTTTGGTTAAAAAAGAAAAGGAGAAAATCAGCGGTGCTAGCCAGACCCGTGGCTTCAGTCTTCTGGAAATTTATTACAGATAAATTAACATTGGATTGTCTTTGCTCTTCAAATAAGCAAGCAGGCAATATACCCTGTACCGTACAACTGTTTTAAAGCATCATGCTTATTCATTGCACACTATTTCAGTGGTACTCCAAAGTGTTCAGGCACCTGGCCTACCCTTGACTCCTGCCAATCCAGTTAGCCAGTTGGAGTTACCTTCCTCACCACTAGGAAATTAATGGAATCCCAGTGCTCTGGCTGATGTAATGACCCCCGCTCACTGTGACACTCTTGTAGCGGGGATAAACTCTGTGGATAATGGAACAATTTTCAGTTGTGGAGTTGTTGAGGCACTGTTACTAGAGGAATGACAACTGTTCTTTGTTTTCAGACGCACAGTTGTCTAGCTGTGAGAACAAAATTCTTTGGTCAGGACTTCTAGGTTTCATGTCTAGTTTTGTCAATATACTGTGAAATCTTAGATAAGCCACGTATCCTTTCAGTGCCCAATTTTTCCCCTCAAAAAATTAGGAAAATAACACTTCCCAGTTCTGCTCTGAGGCTTTCTGGAGTTCTGCACGTTCTTTAAGTGGAAAGTGGTTAAAAATAATCACTTGTGCAAGATAACTTTCTGACTTTGTTGTCAGGTTGGTCACTCCCATTATATTGTCCTGGAGAGGGATGGGGTTCTTTGGCAACTACTGACGGTGGGCCAAATTCTTACATACTGTATAGGGTTGCCAACCCTCCCAGATTGGCTGTGAGTCTACTGGAATTGGCATTGATCTCCCAGTGACTACTGAAAGCAATCTGGGAGATTTTAACGGGATATTTTAAGAAGAAAAAAATCCCCTGGAATAGCTTCAGTCAGAGTTGGCAACACTAATACCGTGATGAATAAACAAATTTGCTGTGGGGACCTTAGCCTATCTTGCTTCCATCTACCTGGAGCAGAAAAGCCACGCTGTCACTCCATAGTAATTGGTGTATATGGTGCTTCAGTTTTTGGGCAATTATTGAGCGACCCATTGTCCATCGTTCATCCATTCTCTCACCAACTCCATCCCAAGTTTTTTCCTGGTGTATTTGGAGTTTCTGTGGAATACTGCTTCCTGTACAGCTTTTTGACAGATTTCTTTCCTTTTGTAGCAGGACCATGGCAGTTCTGTTGCTTTTTGACCTAGGGATTTCTGTGCAAGGATCCTGGGGTATAGGATAAGATTTGTCTGCATGTCACTTTAAAATATAAAAGTATGTAAGCACACTTGTTTTATAGGTGTGTCTGTACAGTTTTGGAAAATGCCATTGCCATTGTTCCAAGGGTTAATATATTGACTGGAACTGTCTTTTCAAGTGCAATCTTTTGAATCGACAACTTTTTTCTTAAGATATCTTGGAAAGAGATGACAGGCTCAGAACTCACCCTCCCCTTTCTTTTAATCCTGATTTTTGCTTTGGGTTATAGTTTTCCCCCCCTGAACCTGTCTCGACTGGCTTTTGACTTTCAGATATGCAATTAGTGAATTCCTCTCGTTCCGAAGTAGAAAAACAAGACAAAAACAAATTTGAACTTGCAAAGTTTCCTGACAGTAAGAACTTAAGATTGCACCTGGATACTAATACGAAAAACATGTACAGACATCTGGATGCCTACTGATTATGACTTTATAGGCTATTGACACCTTTTAAATATTAACATGGCATGAGTGTTTTGCGATGCCTGAATAAAATTATGCAACTAAAACTAGTTTATGCTGTTTGCAAGAGAACAATTGCTTGTTTATAAGATTTCATTAAAAACTGAGAGACATTTTCTGCAGGATTTGTCCAGAGTCCTTTTCAATTGTAAAAGATGATTTGTGTGATGGAATATGAAAACTATAGCTTTCCAATTTGGAAGAAAAACCTTGTAATTCTTTCCATTTTAGCAGCTTAGAAATGAGTTTCCCTGCACTATAACTCAAATACATATATTGTGCTCACCAGAAAATAAAGTTCTAATAAAAGCCTTTTCTGGACGGTTCATTTCAGTTCACAGGACCTACTGTTCCAATGCATATTTTAAAGATAAGTAAGTATTACCCCAGGTCATTCGTTCCTTCTGTTATGGAAGAATTTAAGGCTGCAAATTCCATTTTTTTTTTTTTTAACTCCTGTCTGTTTATTAGGGTAAATTTGCATGCAAAAGTGGGGGGAGGTCTGTGAATTGCATTCTTCAATTGCCTTTTAAACCATCAAATAAAAATAAGATTTAAAACAAACCTAACTCCATTAGTATATAGCTATATATATTGGCAATCACTCATAGATGAGGACGATTGTCTTCCATGACTGCTTTATCTATGGTTCTCAAGATGGCTGATGAGGCCGTTGCAGGATTGACAGGCTCTGTTGCAACTCGGACTAACGGTTGGTAATTTGCCTGTGCTACTGATAAAGCATTAAAATGGAAGGAATTCTGAACTATCTAACCTCTTACCATTCATGTATGATTCCTCCTTTTGCTCCCTCTTCATTTCTTGCACTTTGACTTTCTTGGGCAGCTATAACGGGCTGCTCATTTGCTGGCTTTGCTTGCCTAGTACAGGTTCAGAGAAGTTAGCCCTTAGCTTGGAATCAGACAGAAGGCAGAACAGAGTTGCACCTTATAGATGAACTGAACTGAAGATGCACCATATGGATTGCAAGCACCGGAGAACTCTATAACCAGGGGATTATTTTTGATAAGATTGAAAACAATTTTATTAAATTAAACTTTGTTGAGTTGATTTTTGTTTGTAAGAAACCTGTATCTTTGGATCTAAATTACCTGTCACTGCCCCTTTAAATACAGTGCTGCAGCTCCTCAGCAAGTGAAATCCAGTATAGCTCTACAGAAGACAATGGGAGTTATGCCAGTTCACAGTAGCAGAGGAGCTAGCTGCCCTTTTTTATAATGCTGAAAGCAAGATTTGTTTATAGCTTCCCTCCAGGATATATGTGCTAAGAGTAGGTGATAAATGGGAGCGGGAGCTTGGTGATTCATTCCACTTATGTGAACGAGGCATGATGAATAAACCTGATGATACTAGGTTCAGAGCTTCACCCTTAAATTTTTCTTGAATTTATGGAAGAAACCCATTCTTATCATTTTAAAGCTTAGGGTAATTTATGGCAGCAAGCAAGCTGATTGCTATATTTTCAATGGATTTCCCTGCTGCTGTTGGAATGATGTCTAATACTTACCTTTGAAACATAATTTCCATTTACAGTTGGGTTTCATAGATTTGGGGTCGGAAGGGACCTAGTAGATCT